GATTGTTTTGTACTTCGTTACTCGCCTATTAAGAATTCCGAATAAAATGCTTGTGGTGTTTGAACGAACTAATAATACCTTTGTACTTGTTGAATGCTCGATTTCTAATTCCAAATACAGTACATGCGTTTGTGTTTGTGTATTACTTCTTAATTCAATTGAGTTAATTCTGGGATTCCTAGTTCATAATACAATTCAAATAATTCAAAACATTATATTGGCGTCACGATGGAGCCTGTAATGGAAAAGTTAGATATTCATTCAACTTCGGAAGCTTTTGAAGATTACTTTGAAAGGTCCACTTATCGACTCAGAATACGCAGATGACATAGTCCTGTTTGGTGAAGACGCTGATAAAATGCAGAGTCTTTTGGTAGCACTAAGCAACAATACCAGAATGTTTGGAATGTGCTTCTCTCCCTCTAAATGCAAGTTGTTGCTTCAGGGCTGGCCTGCATCAACACCTGAACTAAGGATAGGGAATGAAGAAGCCGAACGCGCCGAAAACTTCACTGGTCTTGGAAATCTGATCAGTTCTAATGGGTTGGTGTCTGACGAAATCTCTGTACGAATTCGAGAAGCTCGTTTGGCTTTTGCCGAAGATGAGATATCTGTCTATCAACTGAGGGACGAGCATTATGCTCGGCAGTTCGTTCTGTTCTACTTTACGTCCGCGAAACGTGACCATTAGTAGTAGAAGATACTCGTGAGCAACTAGTATTTGATCATAGATGTCTTAAAAATATTGCTCACATCTGTCAGGATCACCGGGTAAGTAATAGTGAGGTTAGATGCAGGGTAATAAGGAATAATGGTAAATCAGTTGATGCGGTTGTGAATCTTCATCGACTGAGATGGTTGGGCCATGTGTTACGTATGCCTGAACACCGATTACCATGACGCGCAATGCTGACAGGTGTTCGGGATAGTTGGGAGAAGGTTAGGGGCGGCCAAATCAAAACGTGGCATCAGTGCTTGAAGTCACTAACTTCTGGTCTGAGCCATGTTGGTAGATGCAGACTACTTGGTTGTGGTCCGCGTGACTATCGTAACCAATGTTTGGAGACTCTGGGTGACATGGCGTAAGTGTATACATTCTTTGTCTTCCCTTAAACCGTGTGGTTAAAATTACTTTATACCTTTCGTTTCTACGAACTCATTTTTTCTTCCTGTATTATATCCTTATATGCAATCTTTCTTTATTACTAAAGTAACTGCTATGAACTTGGTGTTAATCTTGTTGTGCTAGTGAGGTATGGTAACTTGGACCGATTCATTTATGTGCCTGGTCCTGTATTGCAGTTGACTGACTAACTGACTATGGATAAACTCAGGAAGACTACGTACTGTATTGTATATGATTTATAATCATTGCAATCTGCGTTGAGTTAAATAACATAGTTAATTTCGGCCGACATTGTGGGGAGGAGATTTCATTGAAAATAAGGTTAAAATCTGACCATTTCTACGCGAACGCTTTTATGTGTTGACAACTCGACGTTTGAACTCACGTATCCTCAGGGTACATCTGTAAATTTGAGTTTTGCAACCAAAAGGGACGAGCTTCCAAGTTTTACCGTTAGCAACATAACAGATTTTGTGGCATTCTTAAATATTTCATATATACTTTAACATTTCCTAATCTTTATGTTTTATGAAATTAGTCGTTTCTGGTGACCTGTGGAGGATTTCAATGTACATCTATTGATATGAGCCTGTAAATACGCAAATTGGGGCTTTTATATATATCTGAAGGGATGACAAAAAGGTTTTTCAAAAAAATACTTTCCGGCTTTCATAAAGAAAGAATGTCCAAATGTTTAAAGTTATGCAACGTGTAATTTTATACTTACAGGAGTAGTTGCCTTTCTGCGACGAGACCCGCTGATGGCAAATGCTGGGCTTCCTGAAGCAGACGTCTGGGCTTCAACCGTGACGGATTCGTCTTGGAATATTTTTTGAGTACCATACCAATGTCTGGATTGTAATGTGTAATGATTTATAATTTTTAGAGGTGAAGATTGATCATAAGACAGTTAGTTATCAAATACCTGGGACCATCCCGAAACAACAAGAATCGAGAGGAGGGAAATCAATCACATTATACAAGCCCGTGAGGAAGATATATATGGTATTCGTACGAACTAATGATTGTTTTGTACTTCGTTACTCGCTTATTAAGAATTCCGAATAAAATACTTGTGGTGTTTGAACGAACTAATAATACCTTTGTACTTGTTGAATGCTCGATTTCTAATTCCAAATACAGTACATGCGTTTGTGTTTGTGTATTACTTCTTAATTCAATTGAGTTAATTCTGGGATTCCTAGTTCATAATACAATTCAAATAATTCAAAACATTATATTGGCGTCACGATGGAGCCTGTAATGGAAAAGTTGGATATTCATTCAACTTCGGAAGCTTTTGAAAATTACTTTGATAGTTTTGATTTCTGGGCTATGACCAAGGAAGATTACGAAGGTTTTTATATTGTGGCACACTTCCTCACATTCATTAGAAAAGGAGCATACAGCTTATTAAGAACTCTGGCTATGCCGGAAAAACCCTTTTCGCTTTCTTATACTGCTCTCAAGGATCTGCTTCTAGACTATGCTCAGTATACAGTGCAGAATCATATGGCAGTTCAGAGTTAAATGAAATTCAGAATTCTTGTGAGACAACAGTTCCTAATCAACCGATTTATCAGAATTCTCAAGCTATTGTACCAGGTATGACTTTTCCTAATGATTCACATATTTCTAATGAAATTACTTGCAATTCTGAGGAAAATATGTTAAATGAACCTAATCATGATCGAAAACCTGATGTGGTTTGGATAGATGCTGATTTTTCTAACGACCCTACGCGCTGCAATGACAGTCCTAATGAATTTCATAAGAATATTTCAGAAGAATCAAATCCTGATGTCATATCATATATTACCTATCCTCATAATGCATTTGATCCTTGTGGAAAACCTGCACGAGTACTAAGTGACCTCGAGTTTCATAGAATCATTCGTCAAGACAACCAAAATATTAGACAATTTTCTCTGAATTGCAGAAACAAGCCGCCAAGTACCATTTCGGAAGTCGACTTCATGTCAAGCTGCGTGATCGACTGATTGCAGGAATTAACATACCAAATCATAAAAAAGAGCCTACACAGATGCCAAAGCGTTTCTTTCACTTTGCTAAAACTTCGTGCAATAAATACGAGACAAGGAATGAAGTAAACTCCCAGGATATCATGAATTCTACCACATCGCTTATTTATCCCAATCCAATGTATTCATTGAGAAGTTGCGTAGCAGATTGCAGAGATGAGCATAGATTTGGTGAACGCTTATCATGTAGTGAACATTACTCACGTAATTCATGTGAATTTCAACATGCCAAATGTTTTAGGTGCGGTAAAATGAGACACATCAAATCGAGGATATTCTATCAAACTTCGCAAGCCTAGAACCAATTAATTGTTGGCTGAACATGGACTGTTCTATCGAATCACCAATGAATGGAATTCATTACATCAACAGGTGACTAACAATTCATCCATTGACATTTTCAAAAGAATGTTAGGTCAACTGAGAAACTACCATTACCAGGACAAACACAGGCCACCTAGCCTCTTGTTCTTTCCGGACCAAAACTGGAATTGATGTACGAAAGCCAATGATATGACAATTTGAAATAACAGTACCATCATATGATCAAGATATCTGAAATGATCGTGAACTCCAATGTTCAGCTAGGTGGTTATTTCTGGAAGAGGGTTGATTCCTGTCATGAGAGGTCTGTCAACCTAAACAATGTCATCTGCTGGGGAGTATATCACCTTGATTACGTAAAGGTAATAGAATGTTGCCGAGCTTTAGGCGAACCACCCATCGAATAAAATCATTTCTATATCAGACAGCAAATCAATAGATGTGTAGTGACTCACATTCATCACGAGAACACGACTGGTTTAATAAAAACAATTATTCTTATAACCAACCGTACCGGTGTTTGTTTTAATGTGCTTTTGTTTGACTGTGCTAATGACAGCTATTTTGTGCTTCCATTCTTTTACTTACACTTTTGATTGTGACTTCGCGCGAATTCGGTTACGTTCTGTAACCAAGGTTGTATCCTGGCACGATCTCGGTATCCTTTCGATGCCACGAGATCGCCAGCTAATAAACCTCGACTTGGTCCATTAACTGTCTTCTGATATTTGGCTTCTCGGGGATCTTATGGATTTCTTTGGTTACGTTCGACCTTCGCCTTCTGATCTACTTGGCACGTGTTTCTTTGTAGCGGTGTTTATAGTTAGTCTCAACTCGATGCTACGCTACAGATGTTTGGCAGTTCACAGAACAATACCAAGTTCAAGGGATGACAAATAACTTGTCAGCTAAATATCGACCTTCCTATTAAATAGTCAATAAATAGAATTCACTACATCCACACACGACTCATGTTTTATCCATCGACGCTTTCGAAAGAATGTTGGATCAACTGAGAGAACATCATTACCAGGACTAACACAGGCAATCTAGTTTCGTGTCATAACCAAACTGCAACTGAAGATAAATTAACACTTGGATGAACACACTATCAGTGAATGAACTGATAAATCAGTTTGGATCTCCCAAAATATGATTCATATGTTTCACTGTTTATTGATGGCACTGACTAAGGTGGGGAATGTTTTACTTCAGAGAGCTGTACTTACTTATTGAAGGAGTGGTTAGGGCTCTGACTTGAAACGCCCATTTAATTAATTATGGGTCCAAGTCGCACTGGCATCGAATCTTCAGTTCAAAGGACCACAAGTGAATTGATTCCTGGTATCTCAAATGTGCCTTGTGAACATAGAGTGGGGAGACTAAACATGTTCCTTATGTCTGAAAGAAAAAAGAACTTAATTTAGTTATGCCCATGACGTTGTTGGACAATAATTTTTCATGTAACGTTCTTTCATTTTACTTATGCTTTAAAACAAGGAACTGACGAGGATATTTCAAAAAGTTCACTGGCGTAAAACCAAATACTCGTCTGATTGCCAACTTTTCGACTGACGCTACATTTTATGAGGCACTCAAGGTAAAGTTAGCCCAAATGAGATCGCTTCATCATTCGGACTACAAAAGATCATTCAGCTGCTTAAATTGAAACTGGATACTGAACCCATGAATTTCTTGATCGGCATTCTATGAGAAAATTCATACGAACCTTTACGACGCTCAGCAATTAGAAAATAATAAACTAATGACAAGTCGAAAAGTACATCATGTGTTTTCATGGATGCGTTGTTGTAAAAATCACTTACCCTGAGTTTTAGTGCGAGCAGAGAAATATCTCCAATAGAAGGAAGGTTGTTGGACGATAAGTAGTAGTCGCTATACTTAAGTATAGTTACAAAACGTAGAGGCATAATGTTTGAATTTCTTCTACTGAGAAAATTAATGCTCTGTATTTTCAAAACTTAACGGTTTGTACTTGATTGATCATATCTTTCGTTGAAGAATGGTTACTGAAGATATTTCTCAGACGTTAGTCTCTGTAACGTGATGTCATGAACATAACTAAGATCCCGTGAAATATAAATTATCATGATGTCATTTGGACGGACCATCCAGAAATTTTGAGTTTCACCTAAAGCTTTCTCTTTGTAGCTTCTTGTAGGTCAGAAAAAGTGAGTGCACTGATTTCATGAATGGATGTCTACGAATCTTAGTCTGTAAGAAACAACGATGTTTCTGTGTCTGACCACAAACTTATACACAGACTGTTTTATACTGAATTACTACTTGACGGCTTCTTCCTATGATGATCGAAAGTATTTGAATTAATGAGCTAATTAAGAATCCACGAAATAGTGGAATTTAGGACAAGTAGAACTAGATGGGTACTACAGAACGTTCTATATTTGGGATTCATCATGAGCGCGAGACCAGGTAAAAAGGAATCATTATTTAACACAAATACCGCACTTCCTTAGTCTTGAAAGCAAATATGCGATGTACTGAGTGGTTGTCGTAAGAGATGTGTAGCACGGAGCGTTTGAGTGTTATCTTGTGAGGATGCATGCCAAGAACCGTCAGCTTGGATGTGTCCACTAAAAAAAGTTGGGTCAATGTCAAATACTTGAAAAACTACTTAGTTTGGGGGATTAATTTGTGACTTTTCTTCTCCAGGACTCAACAAAATACCATTTATTGTAGATTAACGACATCACGTTTATCAAATTTACATGGTTCAAACTAGGAGAATAACTTCAAGAAATGAATAGCGAGGTTATTCATAGTCAGAAATTAGTAGCTATACAACATCATAGACGGCCAGTTTCCTGAAGATAGCTGAACGTTAGTCTCATATGTTCACGGATTTCATAGTTCTTTTTATTATTTTTAAACACCCTAAGTATATTTTTGGCTTTTAGAAACTAATTGCTGAGAAATCAACAGGCGATGGAGAGGCAGAAGAATGGTTAGTGGTTACCACTGAAAAAGTGAAAGATGGAGTGATTGAAACTACAAAGATATCCACAAATAAAGAAGAAAACTTAGACAGTGTCTAATTTTGTTAAGTATTCGAAATCTTCTCTTTACAGTAACATTTATTAGACATCCTTCACTTGACTCACTGAACAAAGAACTCACACGTTTGTGTATAAGTTATTTTTTAACCCAGGATATAAAGCCTGTAGTCCCTGGCAAAAGTGTTATTCACATAGCTGGTGTTTGTGTGTTAAGGAGTTTACAAACCGTTGCCTTAATAAAGAAAATATTACCGTCAAATGTTTTAGACAGAATGACACGTCTGCAGATTCAATGAAGAATCTTTGAACCTTAGCCAAATATTACTCCGGGTTGAACGCATCGCTACCTTGTAGGTCTGATTACTAGACGTTGAATTATTTAATGAGTTGTCTTAATGTTGAGGTAAATTAACGTCTATTGATTACATCTAATATATTAATCGACCAGTGCGTTATTGCGTCCATACTTTGTACTTCCATAATCTTTTTCGTTGAATACGGGATATTATTCTGGAAAGTCTTCATTTATCTCGTAATTGCATCATAAAAGCAGAATAACCTGGCTGGTAAAATAGAACGAGTCAGACCGGAGTACCTAAAAGATTGTATGACTTTGATATGTAATTACTGAAGTTAAGTGGCCACACTATTCCGTTCATTTCCAATATACTAAGGACCTACATTCATGAGCCAAAAGTGATTATCGTCTGTTTTGACGTACGCTGATATGGTGGTCAGACTATATTGTCAGGGTTGCTAAATATGCAAATTTTCACGTCTAACTCGGTAAATTTTCAGCTAGGGACAATGTAAGGAACGTTTTTAAGGATAGCTGCAAAACAGAAGAAATGAATGGATCGTAATATTCATGAAAGTACTGACGTGAGATATTGGATCGGTTACATTAATTCCTCTGGCTAAAAAGTACTATCTCAGTTCCAGTGGCACTATAATCAGTGTTAGGAAAAATATGACACTTCGTCTTAGACTAAATATCTACATGACCACTTGATATATAACAATATAGTGCAGTAATATCATTAACAAAAAGTATAAAGGAAGCCGGGATTACTAGTGGATAGAGATAAGGAAGCAAAGGTCGTCCTTGAGACAAAAACGATGAAAACTGTTGAGAGCGACAGAAAGTTTTAACTCAACTTTTACGTCTGAAACCTGTTAAGATGCCTTTGTAAGGTATGCAGTTGTGGTGAATCATAAAAATGAGTGAACTTGTCTTAATTAAATGCTTGCGATCCATTATATCAACGAGTTAGTCACCTAAGAATCAAGATACACTCCTGTGAATCTTCTCCAAAATTGGAATTAGGCAGATCTGTCTAATTTAAAGGAGAGTCGATAGTTTTTCGATACAAATTATGATGAAATTGAATGATAAAACTGTTAGGTATGCAGAGGAATATACCAATGATTGTCGTATTAAGTCGAATGGTGTCCTTGGACGTTAAATGGACATTTCCTATTGGTCGATATTTATTTCACTTGTTAAATATTGTGTAAATGTTGTTTTCTATTTTGTGGTACGATGTGGTTTGTTTGGTTGGTATATAAGCAGAGTATGTCTGAAATACAATGATTCATATCTCAGAGGCTGTGACTTGTGTTCTGGACTCAACTGGCTGGGCTAGACAGGGAAGCAGGGCCAATCGGGACTCTAAGTCGTTCATTACGTGTTTACGTGTCACTAATCCGATCGATAAAACGCTGCTTATCAAAACCTGCAGTCCACACGTTACAACGAAAATCTCCCATCAAGGAAAACTTGCTTAGGAAACCGATCTGAATGAAGAATCCCCTAATTTTAAAACATCAAAGTGACTTAAATTCAGTAAGAACATTATAGCAATGCGAAGGCTATTATGTAAAACTTTCATCATTCATCATCCACATTCGTCATTATTGTTTTAGAACAAGTCATAATAGGTAATTTCGAACAAAAGAAGCAAATATATTTGTTAATAATTCTGTTGATTTATATATAGCACGAAAGTAAACTTACATAATAAAGATGTAATTTCATGGATAAATAAATAAAACCATTATGATTAAATGTAATATTATAAATTGATTTAAAGATTAGGAGATAATTCGAGAGAAACAATATGTTAATATAAAACTTTATGGTTAAATGAAAACGATACATAAGATTGATAGATGTATTACAGTTTGTAATAAATAAAAAGAAGAATACATTACACTACAAGGGAAAGTGTTAAAGAAAAGAAAATGAAATGAAATTATGAAAAACAAATTATTTGATGTGGTTTCATATGATCAACTCTTGACATGTTTAATAGTATAATAAATCCAATCATTGGACAATTAGTTTCATCATCATATACAAGCTAAAAGTTGATGAATAAAAGAAAAATAATATCTTGAAATTAAAGTAAGTAATTATAGAAAAGTTAAAAAGAAGTCAGATTAAATTAACTTATATTGAATTTTAGAACTATTGATAATAAACATATTCAGAAACTCTTTATTCCGAATTCGATTTTGTTTTGTTATGAATATTTAAAATATGAATTAAAATAATACACAATTTATAATGATAGTGTGAAGAAAGCTGGAAGTGACCACAACAAGACATGACATCAACTCGTTAATTCGTCAACTATTATATTAAGGCATGTTAACAGGCGTAAACATTCTGGTTCGTGAAAATCTAGAGTTATTTCATTCTAATACAGGACTACTCAAAAGTGAATACCCTTACCGGGAATCGGACACGAGACCCTCAGTTTTTAATGGTCAATCGTACCATAACTGAGATTAGTCTGTTATAAATCCGGCTGATGAGTTGAACTAGTCTCTTTAAAACTCTTTCAATTAATTTATATGTACATAAATTCATTTTTATACATTACCTGTAATAAATATGTACTTTCCAAAGCCAAATTTATAAGTTTTTCAGAATCTAATTTTGAAAGATTTGTCAATAATTCTGTAAGATATGATTCCAATTTTCGTTGACTAATATAAATCTTTTCTTGGTTATTTTCCAGTAATTTTAACTAAAAATGGAAAGTGAAATTTCAGAAGAAGCTTTTTCAGTGAAATAATCAAATATCAAAATGATCGGATATGAATAGTATAATTCGCAAACGAACTGTGTACTTAACAAATCATCTTATTATGTCATTAATGTTGAATATGAAATTGCCTACATAATGTGATTCATTAATTTGGCATCCAACTACTCTCAAATTATTCGTTTGAATTCAGATCACTTCATATAAAAATTAAATTGACTACTTTTTTTCTAAATTTCAGTGATACTTATTCAGTAAAACTTGAAAAAAATTATCATAAAACACAAATACTACTGATGAAACTACTGAAGTCACCTACATTTAAACGGTTAACTACGATTTTCAAAGAAGGAATTAAAATTCGTTGACTTTTATTGGGTTAATCATAATGGAACAAGAATTTTAATAACCTTAAAAAGTGAAACAGAATAATCCATAAAAATTATAACTTATCACAAGTCCTACCTTACACTAAATAAATCTATAGAATAATTAATATATTCAAACAATATAGTTTTCAATATATTTATGATATTATGATATATACATTGTAGTGAGCGAGAACACAAGTGGAAACAATCGAATGTAATTGAGTACAAAATTACAGAACATAGTAAAATCTGTGAACGATACAGTGAATATTTCATTTGCAAAATGTCAATTAATCGTCTCAGACTTCAATGTTCCTTTATATCCACAGCAATCATTCACTGTTCTCATTTTCTTTCCTTAGATCTTTTTAACCTTCTGCCTCCAGGAATTTCACTTTGGACTGATGATACATACTAATTATATCTGTCGACTTCATTAGCACACACCACAACATAATCAACTACTGGTCTACTACTACCTAGTAACATTTCCTCTTTAGTTAGATATTAATCTACTCAGAAGTGTTGAACAATGTGACAGTGACACACTGTTATGATTTTTTGTATTCCTTAATTAGATCAGCATATTAAAAAAATAGCAAAAGAACTTTAGTTTGTTTCTATAGAGATTTATTTATGTAAGTAGTTTCACTAATTTATGAAAATCATTTAGTCTTTATATATTCTATTTTAGTGTTCAATTTATTTTAATTTGCAAATATCTTGTAGGGATAGTGAAATGTCATTGAGCTCTAGCCAAATCGTCCGGTATTTGGGTCTCTTAGTGTCGAACAGTTCACCGATCCTCGTCAGGGCCAAGGATAACTAATGCACATCAATTAATTGCACGTCATGGGCTGGCCTATTCAGAAGTGGTCGTGCTCTGTTCCTTGTACCTACACATATTAATATATTTCTGTAATAACGTCGTTTGTGTTGTACGGTCATCAACTCAGCCATGGTACCTGGATACGACAAAACGTATATTTGATCGTTTTTTTAAGGATCATCGGTATTGTCGTTTTTGTTCTCTTAATTCTGTTTAAGATGGGAAAGTAAACGTTCGATGCGCTAAGTGATAGAAGGCAATCAAGAACCAGTTAGGACCTAAATATAGTACATAAAATGTTGATTCACTTGAACTAGGGACTAGATTGCAACTTAACCAATAGAATTTGATCAGCACTACGGATTAGACAAACATGATTTTGCTTATTAATTAGTGTAAATATTTGACAGCTTTTGCAAGTCAAATTTATGACACAATGTTTGATCGATGAGATGCCATTAGACAAAAACGAATGCATTTCCTGTTATAGTCATTCTTATGCGAGCTCAGAATAAAAAAGAAATTAGAAACCTTTTAAAGATAGGGTTTATCAATATATACTTATTTAAATGTTGTCTATATAGTTTAAATTTGTATAGAATACACGAGCAAGTAAATGATAAGCACAATAGAGAAGACAGATACAAGAAAGCGGTTTGAAAGTTAACTATTTTATTCTTAGTATAATTTCCTCTTATTCAACATGCATATAAATGATTGATTTATTTGCTTCTAATTTACGTCGCACGTGGAGGGACTTCAAACGTCATCGGTCTGTTTTCGCTTTTAGTATACTACTGTGTGACGCTTTTCAAGGACGTCTTTACATTGTATATATCATGCATGAGTTATGTGCTTAATATTTGTTCTTCCAGGCTGCTTGTCGAATTATACATTTTCTTAACTGAATCTGGTCTTCTTCCACTAGTTAGCACGACTGGAGTGAAGAGAAATAGCCTAGTTTGTCCAGTTGTTGAGTTGCTGATTTTCGTTTCATTTGCCGGTTCAAGGTGATGTCATAATTCATTAAACATAGCAGAGATGATGTTGAAATAATTTACAACATAAAATTACATGTTTATATAACACAAACAAGACGTAAATATGGATGTTAATTTTCATATTGGTTGTTTGAGTCTTCCTATTTATGTTAAGGATTGAAATTGATCAGTCTCATATTGGCATATGTGCACCGTGTGCGGATTTCCTCGATATTGCCTGATATCACAAGCATTATAAATAAAAACAGATACGGGTTAGCCGTGAAATACAGGACGCGCGTTTCATCCTATTTAGGACCCATCAGCTGGATGTATCTGCCAATACTAAAATGAATTAAAACTCCACCTCACTTTACAAGCTAGTGGCTATCTGGACTTAGTAGCTAAGTGGGTAACGCGATTGCGTTTGAAGAGAACGGTACTGGATTCGAGTCTCGAAGTGAAAATCAACTCTGGGATGCAGGCAAATCCAGCTGACGAGTCCCGAACAGAACGAAGCGCGCGTCCTGAATTCCACTGCTAGCCACCATCTATCTCTGCTTATAATAAATACAAATGGATCTCAGCTAGCAGTGGAAATAAAAACATGGATTTCTTCATATTCAAGACTTATCACTCGAATATCTCAGAGTTCTAGCGTTGGTGTTCGCATGTGAATTCAAACCCAATAATTTTCATTTAAAAATCAACGTATTATCCACTAGGCAATTGAATTCATTTAAACGCTTATCTGAGAAAAGAGAACTTGATAAAGTGTAATAAAAACAGATTATTTTTAATTATCGTAAATTAACTGACATAAACTTACATTAGTTTCTGTCTCTGTGATAAGTTGGTTAAATGTGAAAATTTTTGTAGATAATTTCAGAGATTTTTTTCTAGAGCAAATACTCTTGAATCTATTTAATACAACAGTACGAGAATAAAAAGAAAAACATACGATTTTATCATCAAAACAAATAAGTTAATAATTATAAGTCACTTATAAATTGCTTTAAGTATTACCTAGAGTAATGAGATGGAGTTGATGTGAAAAATGTGACTTTTACCTGAGATAAATATAATTCAAACAAACTGGTCAAATATTTGTCAAAACATTTATATTTCAAAACCAATATCAAGGTCTATTAAATAAATGCTTCTTGAAAGAAAGCAAGTAAGTGAAGCAGGTCATAGGATCGACCTTAAAACGGTCTTGAAAGCTTCATACAGAGATTGTAAAGAGTGAATTTTTAAGTTTATAGAAGTTTTGGCCATTAGAAAACTCAAATCTCCTTTATGCGTATAAAGACAATATCCTAACCTTGAATCTGTCCTGGTGATTTTCAACCCATTTTAAGGCTTACAATGTGACAACTTCTAATTCTTCCCTTATTGTACTGCATTACCGTCATTCTTTTATTTACAATTATCACCTTAAGTTTAATTGGCCTTTTTCAGTTTTCATATGCTAATATCTTAACAGGTATATGTATGATCAAACTGTTCGAAATGTATTCCACATTCTTTACATGAACTCCATATTCTTACAATAATAGCAAAATTTATAAGACAGATTGTTTTAAATATTTTAAATGTCTCAAATTAGCATTGTTAGATTAGTCGGAGATATGTTTTTTCATTAAAAAATATCACGGCTAAACATAAATCAAATAATAACAATCTTTAAGAACAAAATTTCACCGGTTAAATGCATTATCAATACTAAAAATGAAATTTATTACCAATAACATTTAACATTTTCTTAAAATAAAAAAAATAATTATTTATGCTTTATGACATTCATTCTAGTAAGAAGTCGTGGTTGACAAAATTCAACGGTATCGGGTATGAGAAAAGCAACTACCGAAGACAACGAAATATGATCGTGAAATATTGTGGATTGATTGAAGTTAGACAAATTAAGTCAATCTGCATAGGCTGCATATATACCAACTAAAACTGATCTAAACTTCGTCAAAATATCAATGACGGGATAATTCAAACCATTCCAAACTAAATTAAAAGTCATAGTTTAAAAGAGAAACTGTGCATATTCATTCTATATTCTTATATTTTTCTCATGCAACAAAATTGTAACGAACTGGTGTAACCAACAATAAAGAAAAACGAAAATCAAACTGGAAATCATCAGTTATCTGATATGTATTAATTTATCCGTGAAAATGAATTAATAACCTCCCATTGTGGTTAAGCAAAGGTGTAGTCCAAACGGTTAACAGCTCCATTTTAACCCATTTAATTCAGACGGGACATACAGCCAATGTGGAGCAATCTTTCGCAATAATATATCATGTTAACAGCAGTCAACTTAATTCTGTCAGGCTGAGAATCTTGCAAACGGCTGAGACAATTGCTATTAAAAAGCCAGAGTTTTGCAGGACTGATAGGTCCTGGGTTCGAATCACGCGCGGCGAGGCCATGGATGATCACTGCTGAGGAGTCCCACAATAGGACGAAACGGGCGTCCAGTGCTTCTAGGTTTTCCATGGTGGTCTAGCTTCAATTGACTCATGATCTCAACCGTTTAAATTACATTATTCTTTCACCCCATGTTGACCATATTTAATCTGATTATTTATCTCACAATTTCATTTCACTTATAAACTGATTCAGGTTAACACTGTATTAGTCAACCCCAACATTAACAATATGATTTGATTTTATATGACAAACAACAATTCTTGATTCATATATTACAATTTTAAATGATGTACTCTGCTTTAAATCTGGCCAATTTGATGGATTATTAATTTGGATTTATGAATGATAGAACCTGGTGAGAAATTCATTGAAAAGAATATTCTTCGTTCATATAATTGTGTTTTAATATAATGGGAATTTTTCAGCAAATACTAAAGTGTACTAACATTTGTACATTTATTTGTTAGATTATCTTTTAAAAAGACGAGAAAATCATAGCGACAAATTTAAACAAAATAATAACTTACATAATAGTTGTGGATAAAAATGGATTACACATCAAATGGTTAGCATCTGGTAAATCAATCTGTAAATTAATTAGTCAATATAATATAAGGATTATATACATTTTTTTGGATTTATTACATTTTCAATGGTAACAATAATTAAGAATCTTCAAACAATAGCATAATAATGTTTTCATTCATTTTTCTCTAAGAAGATTCCTTCATTTTTGAAGACGTTTTATGTTCTGGATGCTTGTTGTTGTGTATTCTAAACTTATTTACCACGTACTAACTCATATACTTGGTTTCGAGCCACACTGTAAGTTCAAGGGTTAGTGATTCTATTTGACTACTCAAACCAAAGTAGATGCAGAAGGGTTCAAACCTATCACTTGGTGAATAAAAATTAAAAGATTTAATCATAGGATCATGGCTCTAAGTATAGACCACCCAGCCCAGAAAACATAACACTTTTAGAATCTTCATTCTAAACTGCAAGCATTTTAGTAACATGATTTATTGTAGATACTTATAAATAAGTCTAAGAAACATGAAACTTACCCTTAAATTCATAATGAAACATTTTTCAGGTTGATTTCTAAGAATATGTGGCCAATTTATATCAATATGTTGAGGTATAATATCAGATTGATTTGAATCCATTTGGGAGTGAACTACACTAATTTGTGAGGATGAGTTAAGTATAATCAAAGCTTGCTAAAAGAAGATAATAAATAAATTAAAACAATTGACTTCATTTTTAAAATTTGGTTATATTCCTGTATTGGATAATTTTCAATTTGATAAATACCTGTAATTCAAAACTATTGTTTTACAACAAAGACCGAGCTTAATTAGACTATCATTAAAAACAATAGAACACTGAATGGACATTTCACAAATTTATTGGAGTTATAAGTACAATCTATTGGATGCTAGTCCAATAATTTAGAGGCCTGGCGTTCTGCGCGAGGCCTAGAAGTTCTGGATTCAGGTCTTAGTGAGATGAATGTGGACAGCTATCTGGTGCTTCCTCGTTTCTGATGTCTGTCTAACTAAGGTCGGTAAGTGATGTAAAACAAAAGCATTTAGCAAGATCTAAAACTACCCATAGTAATAAAACTTTTCTGATTATCCCGCATGCCAATGTAAGACTACTAATTAAAATGTAAAAAGTTTAAAGGCACCATATCAGATTGCAGCACATAAGTTTTTCTTAAGTTACAGATACTCTTTCAAAACATTCCTGGAACTCTGTTTCAGTGTTATCGAGGATTTTTTCTAACGCGAATTAGTGACCAGAACACATACCTAATCAACAAAAATAATAAGGACTAAGTGGCCTGAATCCTAACTTTGTTTACGATTTGGTAACTAAAGTACAGAAATATAAAATAAATATAAAAGTCTATATACAACCGATACCTCTTAAAGACACCATGGTACCATAATTAAAGTTTTGAATGATAGGATTTGTTGTTAACAAAAATTTTGCCAACAATTTGTCCCAATAGGCTCATAACAACTGATAAACAATCGAGTTCAACTGATTTTTATTGTTTCATTTATTTTCCTTAAATGGGAAGGATTTTAATGAATCGAAGAGTTCAGTACTAATCAGTAGTATATATATCTATATGAAAGACTTAGTACTATAGGAAACATGTAAAAATCCATCATTTCACGTTAGCACTTCAAAAAGGTGGATAAACAGAACAGGGTTCGTTAAATTAATATCCATACAGAAAAAGCTGATGTATAAAAATGGTTGTTCATTATTTGATCCGTTAAAATGATAAATAACTATAAAGATTCACTGCTATGACTATATTTCGCATCGGTTTTTACTCAAGTGTTGATTTGTTTATCACTCGTCGACTCATTTTATGAGATTATGAATATTAAACACGGTAAACTTCGCCTGTGGCTTTTCTAGAGTTACTGCAGGTCCCAAGCCTCGGTAAAAAAGGGGAGTTGGGCATGGGGTCAGCAACCCCTTCCTGTAGAAAACAACCTTGCTATAAAAAACGCTGACTAGTAGGAAACACAGCCATAATATATCATATACTAGAAATGTCGAAATACAATCAATTCGATCTTTTATCAAATATTCACAGAAAAAGTGTCATTGGTAATAAGTGAAAAAATCTCTTAGATACAATAATCTATGTAAATAAATGTAATAAATAATTCTTACTTCATTCGTAGAATGATGAGCCTGAGCAGAATTACACATGTATAAATCATAATACATAAGGTGTATTTCTTCCGTTTGAATAATACTTAATTTATTAAGAATATTTAATTTTTTCAAATCTGTATATTCAGGAGAAGTGACTGGAAGTTGGTTTTGTAAAATAAATTAAAACAAAATAATGGAATATAATGAGAGTTATTTAACTTTCGACAAAAATATCAATGAAGTTATTTTCTACGATATTGTTCATAATGAGCAACTGAATTATGAATTTCTTAAATATTTCACATTTTTCAAATTATCTTTACATATCGTTTTGTGAAATTTTAGAAATAGCTTATAACATAGTTTTGTTGTAAAATGGAATTTTCCTAGTTGGAAGAAAATACTTATTAAAGTTTCATTGAAATCACGAATCAATCAAACTTAGATAACCACTGAAAACCTGAAAGCACTGGACGGCGGTTTCGTCCTAGTATTGGACTTCTTTGCAGTATTCATCCACAACCATGAAAGAGTGAATCGAGCCCAAAACCTACTGTCTAGCACTTATTAAAGTATTTAGTTCTTATAATTGTGCTCACTAGTGATTTAGCTTCAAAGAGGAACAATCTTACACCCACCACAAATGAAACAGATTGGACGGTGTTTTGAAAATGAAATGTTCGAAATTTTATATGCCTACTATATCTTCACTTAGTCACAATAGAATGCTAGTGGACTATCAAAATAGCATCAGATAAAACTTTACAACTAAGCTTTATACTACTAACTAGTAGTCAGATTATTTGTAGATTTTTATTAAGAAACAGTCCAAAACAGACCTAATATATAAAATAATCTGAATTTGATGGGTTTTTTTTCTTTAACGAACGTATTATAACAGCAACAGTTGACATTAGCAGTACCGTTTACGGTATTTACTAACGGCAGAAATATGCATAACCACAGTCACTGACATTTTTAAGTAATCGTTTATCCACAATCAGGCTGAAGTAAATGGGGTAAACAAGTTTTGAACAAAAAGTCATAAATTCAAGTGTTTGAAACAAGATTTCAGAAGTTAAGGGCAACTAGTTATTTTGTTGGCATATTATTTTCCCAGAAGATTCATTTCAGCAACTTAAAGCATATTGACTATGGATTACTTTATGATTGTGAAACATGATCTAAGAAGATAGAAGAAATACTTAGAATGGAGGTTTTTGATCATAGGTATCTTCAAAGCATTGTTCACGTTTTGTGGAATGGCTGAGTGGAAAACATTCAGGTTAGGTAAACGGTATTGGGTAAAGGTAGGAAATCAGCTGGAAAGGTTTTAAATTTTCACTGACTGAGATGGTTAGGAAATTTGTGACGTGGACCCAGCTACCGTCTACTTCAGCCAAAGATGCTTTCTGATGTAAAAGCAAACTTAAAGAAGGCTAGGTGTAGCCAGAAAATAGATATGGTTTCACTCAATGAAGTAAATGACTGATGATCTAAGCCTTGCTGGTAGATTCAGATTACCTGATCAGCGTTAGTATGGGACCTTGAGAGGTTCTTATGATGTAAAGCAGTATTGATTTTTGTTTTCAACAATGAGTACAGCTTGAAAAAATCTTATTGTAATAACGTGTAGTCTATATTGAAATGAAAATCTTGGGAGCATGTAGTATGACTTAGATTTTATCTTATTCAAATCAGAACAAATCAGTAACAAATCTATTATACCTTTGAATAATTTTAAAGACTATTAGTGATATTCTGTAAACTGTTATTCGATGGCTTTATTGGTTTATATTTATTACAGATTCAATTTGAATTTATGACTGAATGTAAAGTACAATTAATATCACAAGTGCTCAAAAATGTTAAAAAGCTAATCGTTTTATCTAAGTTAGTTGATCTTAAAACTATTCTGAGTTTTCCACAGCCAGTATTGAGTTAATCATGTTGCTGGTTTAACTAAACTTATTTCTCTAGCATACTTTGTAAAATCAAGTGAAAGTATATATATGTAGGGGTTTGAATTTATAAACCTAGTTTCTGATGTGAACTAAATTCAGAATTAAAAGCATTCAGAATCCTATACCTTTAAAATAATAATTTGTTCACTAATGATCAAATTCAAAATGGATTCTTGAACTTCTCGTGACATACCGTGACAGATGAAATTCAACAATTGTGGCAGTGATATGGATATTATCGGTCGTTATGGATATGATTTATATAATTCCGTGAAACGAATTACGCTGAACCATTGAGTTTTGATGTAGCGTACTAAAAGTCTCGTGTTAAACACGAAACCTGAAAGTCTTGCGTTTAGTCCTCTATGGAGTACTGGGTGCCCGCTGTTGAAAATTTCCAGAAAAGAATAAAATAAGCGATTGACATTCAATGCTTTGCAAAATTTTCGATCTACATCCATGATGTAAAGAGATTTTAGTTTATGTGACATATTATTTAAGTCCCCAAATCTAATTAATTATCGAAATCCGGGAAATGAATAAACCGTAGAAACAAGAAGTTAATTTACCTTGTGATAAAAATGTCTCAACACTAAATGATGTATTCGTTTCTAGTTTAGAATTCGAATTTCCCACATTAAAATGTGATTGCTCAGTATCTTCATGAATATCTGTAGATGGGGAGAAACCACATAAATCTGAATCATAAATATCATCGAATGAATATTCAGCTGATTCTTTTGATCGTCGACGTGCTAACACTTGAATATGACTTGATACTTGTTTTCTTGTCCTAGTTTTGCCCGTTCTAAGCTTGATATATCGTGCAATTAATTCATTTCGTCCTGTATTTTAGCAAAATAGAAAAGATAAGCGTATATTTAGATGACAATAAAAACTACAAATTAGTGAACACTAAGAAAATACGATTGAACGAAATACAGTACGTTAAAATAATGAATAATAAATATTAAGTGACCTACTGTAATAAAGGTTTAAACAACAATGTTCAAGAGTTCAGTCGTATATAAAAATTGGGGACAAAGTTATGTGTAAAATATTGTTAGCTGAAATCTTACTGAATGGTGTGTAAATAAAGCGTACTTTAGTAAATTCCGCATCACTGAAGAAAAGATAACTAACTAATTTCTGAGATAACATAGGTGATCAAATGAACATAGTCTTCTTACATAATTTATTCATTATATTTATACAACAAAACCATAAAGTAGATGGATCATACTAGTGCTCAATGTAAATACAAAAGCAAAGAAGGTTATAAACAAAGATAACACAGTCTAGTGAATAAACAGATAATATATCTGTATCTAATTAAAGATATGAATGTTTACAAACTAAATAGGTCTGATAAAACCAGAACATGCAATAATATAATGACCTATTAGTTATATGACGTTTGGAGAATAAAAATTAAAGATAAGTTGAATTTTCATAACCAGTTAATTATTATGTTTATCTAGTTGATACTGATCAGCATATAGATAAAACTTCAGCGTTTATTCTATGGTTCCTGAATTTGACTCTTATATACAATAAAAGCCAAAAGAATCTATCTTTTGTATACAGAAAAAGTTTATACTGCCTTTAAATCTAACCCGGTCTTCTTTTTAGATACTATCACATGTCTTAAAATATTTCTTCTTTTAGAATCTCTTGAACTTTGATTTTATTAGCAATTTAATTTCTAAATCAGATCTTACGCACCCTGTTCGATGATCTTGTTACTTCATTTTCATCACACTCGTTCTACTAATTACTTGTCATTAATTTCACAGATAACAAAAAACATTTATAATTACATTCAATTCCAACTAATATTCCTACTCTAATGTAACTGCTTATAATAATTAAGTGATTATGAAAATTCAACTTAGTTTTAATTTTCATTTTCCAAACTAATTGAAGAAACAAACAAATATTTCTTCGCTTAACTTGTCTTTTGAAATCATCAAATAGTCATGTTACATGAATAAAATTTTTGAAGCAACCTAATACAAAAAGCAATATCTATATTGTACACCAATAAACTGGTGCTTACAAATCCGTCTTATATTGGTTGTTTGAATCTTTCCATTGACGGCTATGATTACAGTTGATCAGCTTCTTATTGACAATATGCATCCTTTGTGGATTGCCTAGATATTGCTCTCAGTCATAAACATTATAATCGAAAATGAATGGTAGCTAACAGTAAGATCAAGTCTCAAATAGGATAAAATGCGCATCTTGGATTCCACTACTAACCACCAGTCATCCAGCCTATCCATAAAAGGTTAATAGTAAAATAATCATTAGTAAATTAACACCACTAAAACACCGATATAACATTTGATTGATTATATCAAAAATAAAAGAATAGATTTATAGACATTTATTTATTTAGAAAGAAATAAGTAAATAAAATAAGATTAACAATTATGTAATTAGTCATTTGGGAGCTTTGTTGTTTGTTTAATTATATATACTGTAAAATATATTAAATGGGAAGAAACGATCAACAGATTTATAAAATTGTTTGAGCTTTGTTCTCTTTCTGTAAATCAATAATTTATCTGTTTGTCCACACTCTTCATGTTAACTCAAAACCTGTTAGCAATGAAATATGAAACTTTATCTGCAGAAAAACCATGCACATACACATACACACACAAACAAACAAAACAATTTTGATGACAAGTCGACCAAATAGTCGAAATTAAAGAAAAAAGTTATAGTTATAAATATATTACTAGTGAACAAAGAGTTTTGTGTTGTTGTTGTTGAGTTAACCAATATAGGTACAAGAGATCAAACAAGCAAATTGTACATACAGTCTGGTTCGACAAAAAAATATTATCCAGCCTATGTTATAAGAAAATAATTCAGAAACACATTGAGTTTATTTTATTCCCTACAATAAGAAAGTGTGATGTTGGAATAAAATTAGATTTTGTTTAAAATTTCATGGAAGAGGAAAGTAACCAAAATAAATGAGATAAAAGATAAATATAAGTTAAGTAAATGAATTATTCTAACATATGCTCACTAGTGACTGGTTTCAAGAGGTATATCCTGGAATTCTAGTGGGAAGACGTGACCAACGGAGTTCAACCAGGTCTATTGTGAGATAGTAACTCACTGATGACAATGGTGGATGTGTCGCTCAATTTCGTGGATTAGTTGAAGTTAGACATTAACACCGTTAAATGCCGGCTCAGTGGTCTAGTGGTTAAGTGCTTGCGCGCGAGACCAGTAGGTCCGCGGTTTGAATCCCGCGAGGTGGGATCGTGGATGTGCACTGCTGAGGAATCCCACAATAGGAAGAAATGGTCGTCTAGTGCTTCCAGGTTCTACATGGTAGTCTAGCTCCAAATGACTCATGATCTCAACCATCGAAATTTCAAATTCTATTTACGAATAATTTAAATAGTATTAAAGTACTTAAAGTTTCAAATGAGACTGGACTTATCGATAGCATTCATTATGGGCTGGTATCACCAAAATTATAATGAAAAAGGGCACTTGACATCTATTTTCTTCTTGTCATCTGATTTTTTCATTAGTACACTCTAGGGAACCCACAGGGAGTTCAACACAGTAAAGTATAATTTACCTAATATATATATATATATATATAGACTACTTCCACTTCTCCGGTATTCGTCTCGATGATTTTATGTCGCTGATAAAATGTATATTTTGCCGTTTAACAAGACTCACATATTTTTGAATCATGTTGAAGTTAGATACGGGGTTATATGTAAATCGGTTGATTAGTTAGAGAATTGTCATTGACTGTGGTGGTCTGGACATGAAGTACGTATGCCGAGCAATAAAAACTATCACTCTTACATTCTTAAATATAGTCAGAAACCATGTAGGATAGAAAACTAAGTCACTCAAGATGTGAACTTATTACTTACGGATATATATTGTAAGATAGGAATAAACTATCAAATAAATTAAGAAAACGAACCAGTTACTCTGTTACAACATGCCATAAGCTACCATCGGGTTGAACTGAATCTGTGTTTAAAGTCTGGTGCTTTCTTTTAACTAAGACAAAGAAAGTGAACTTTCAAATAAAGCCGTTACTAGTTTATTTTAGGTGATTTCCATATAAATGTATGGTGAATAAAGTACTTATGCCATGAAATACTTGTAATCCATTAAAAATAAAGTATACTATCCATAAAGTTTTCTCATTTTACTGATATATTCCTTATATATAGACATGAAGGCTAAAACAAAGAATGGACATTTCATACACATGGTTCCCTTTATTATCTCAAAGAGAGCAAGACCAAAGATTGGTGCAGAATAATATGGATTCATTTTATTTCATTAGGTCCTCATCAGCTGCTTACAACCTAAAATATTTGGAAATCAGAGTTATTACAGATATTGACATACTTATACATAAGAGGGTGATTAAGGATGAACATATGTATCATGATGCAGCAGATATCTGTCAAAGCAGTTACATTGATAGAACAGAAAGGAGAGCCTACGTCCGATTCAAAGAAGTATAAAATCAATGGAACATCTGAAAATGATGCAACAGCCTGACTCGTCCTCATCACTAATATGATTATCACTTCATAAAAGCCTGTTTTCTACAAGGAATTAAATGCATTATATAGTCTCCCAATCTACTACAGCTGTGAATAGTAACAATGATAACCGTATAATACACAGGAAAGAAATATTGTGGAAACTTAAGCCGAACTCTAGTGATCAAACTTTCCAACACAACTTTTATGACAAAAATGTAATGGCTATAACTTGGAATTAGGATATGCTTTGATTAATGCTGTTTAGGAGTGATAACTCCCTCAAGGTTTTACTTGGTGTTCAAAGTACTTATTTCCATGAAAGAATCCAAATGAAATATTCCTTATATGTTAAGAGAAAGTTCGATTTTACTTCTAATGAAGGATAACCCAAGTAAATTCGAATTACTGTTAAATTATCTGGGAAAAATTGTAGAGTGGAGAATGTATTGCCCCAAAAACAAAAAGTCAACTCAAAGTATGAAGTTTGGGACTCCCAATACCAAATAACCTAAATACATAAATGTCTATAAAGAGAAAAACGACACGGATTCATAGGATTTTGGGGAACTCATGTCGCTTGCAGCTAAGCCTTATTTTTATTTATTTATTTATTTGGACACTTAAATATTGGTTCAAGGGGGCACCAAATATATATGCGCCACACAAAACAATGAGAATTTAAAGACAAGGAAAAAAACGTAAGGAGCATGAAAGAAAAAGATAATAATAATAATAGTAATAATGGGGGAACGGGAAGATACAACCAGAAATCTTTCAGTTAAGGGAGACACAACCACTTTTTACGAAGTAAAAGGTTACAGCAGGATCGCCATTGGCTTCTGTTCTGAGCCATATCTGATAACGTCTCTAGCCACTGTGTAGCACCATCTCTCGGACCCCAGCCAGGGAATCGTGAAGGACCAATACAAGCCAGCCCTTTGAAGCTTTCTTTCATACCACGACACCATGTCATATACTGACCACCTCTCCGCTTTTTTCAACCAGTCCCAGAGTCGGCAAATAATGCACGACGTGGAATTCTCTGGGACGACACTCGTAGAACATGTCTAAGCTAAGCCTTCATACACGTGTCAACCTATCCCTGATGTTCAGATGAAAATTTCCCAACTGCTTGTTGATTTTGTGTTTAACACAATCCAATTTTTTGTCTTACGTGACAAAAACTCCTGAGAACCTAGCACAGTAGGTTGAAAACACATAAAAGTTATTTTACACCCGGTTATCGACTTTTACAACAGCTCTTAGCAAACTAAACTCCTTTCATTGATGCATCCAAACTAATGTTAAAACAATGCCCTGTGTAACATAGCTTTTGTAGTCTTATGGTATATACATTTGTGTCTATAATGTAACTAGTGTTATTAAACAAGTCCTTCTATATTGATGTTATATCAAAACATGTAGAACTAGGAATACGAAAATATCCATGAGTTGTAAGGGTGTCCAGATAAATAAAACAGAATGGGAGGCAAAACGATTTGAAACTGAAAATGTGTCACAAACCCGGTGTATTTATACTTTAGAAACAACGTGATACAGTTAAAAATTACCTGCGTGGTTTAAATTTGGGTTCTGGGAATAGACAAGCCATCCAGCCACATGCTTTAAGTTTTATACAGAATTTCAAAGCCACAAACCTTGCGCTTGGCAAGTAACTACCAAATTTCGTATATAGTTAGATACACAGTGACATTAAAAGCTTGTGTTTAAAATGACAGTATATAATGCTATTTACAAGTAGCAATATATTGCTATAGGCATCATACGCCAACTAACGATGGAATAAGGACAAGCAGTGGGTTTAGTAAATATTTTGGAATCACTTTTGAAAATTAATTCAGACGTTATGAGTCAATACACATTGACTCGTAACTGGTTTGCATGTTTAAAAATATGCAAGAAATGGATTTCTGCCCACAATAACAAACTGACTACACACAATAAGAATTACCAAACATTTTTCCTTCGTCCGAAATAATAATTTTTCTTCTGCCACAAGGTGGATAGATAATCAAAGCTTCACGAAAACTTTGCTCGATTTCTGGTGACCAAACACTGTCTTTTGAGTCATCCTTCGTTTCCTGGTCCTCTTCACCCTCCTCCAAGTCATAGCCATGCGTTTTATAATCGATGGCTTTGGAATTTTCATGGTTTTGTTGATTTAATCTTTCGATAAAATCACCACTTTTAATCATAGCGGACAAACTTAGCTTGTTTTTCTCGTATCTGCGCACAATGTGACCTTGTAGCCTATGAATTAAAACAAAACACGACGTATTGGAAGGAGTTTGACTTGAAACTATTTAAAAGAACGTGGATGGCTGCGATGTTGTTCTCTGATGGATGACAGTTTTATTAATGGTAAGCTGACCAAATGAAGTATTCTATGTAAACATCCCTTAATACTGAATCCGGACAGTGTCACCACAATCAATGAGCTAGTATGCAGGCGCATACGCTGAAAAACTATCGGCATGTACTTCATAGATCAAGACGAACTCATGATTATCAAATAATAGCCAGATTCTGTTCCTCGTGATCATCCGACTCAATCTCAACAGACTATATCATGAACAAGTACGTTAATCGGAATTCATTTGAAAGAGTGAACAAATGTCTAAAATACCGTTAACTAAGCTACGGACACGTATTCATCGGTACTTGTTTCTGATTTCTTTTTTTGGGATTCTTAAAGAAAATCTTGACCACGGAACTTTAACTACGTCAGTAGCCAGAAATTTACAACCGAGACAGCTAAAAATTTTCTCACACTGTATCCAGCACTCTATGATATTAGGAATATACTCACAAAGATCTCGGCAACTTGAATAGATGGAAGCGACCAAACGATAATTTTTATTTCCTAAACTTGATCACTGTTGAGTTGGTAAGTGCACACAGGTAAAGTTCCTCAAGTTAAAATATAACAAGTGTCTAACCGTGTTTGTTGGTTCACAGTGGTTTTCTAGCTGGTTTTAGTCAGATAAGGATAGTATTTTCGTAAAGAAGGTTTGACTAAGCCCATAACTGCTTAACACATAAGTAGTCAGGATTCGAGTGCTAGTGTGTCTTAAGGTTTTGTAACTCCCAGTCAAACTTTTAGACATATATAGAATGAACTTGTAGTGGCATTGGACCATAACCACACAACCTTCAAAGCTGAACACAAGACTACTCGGAAAACAGATATTCAGTATTTAACGCGGAGAAATACCTAACGATGGGAAAGGCGGGAACAATGAAGTGAGTGAATTGGAGTTGATCGAATGGCATGGCTCGGCCATGCAGGCATGGTCCCTGCTGAATATTACCTTATATCTTTTATTCATATTAAATATATTGTTCTTTCTCTAGCATAAGCTTGTTCTTCATCATGTATTGGTAGTTGTTACGATACAGTGAGTTGGTGTATACAATGATGTGACTTCCACGTAAGATCTTATAGATTAGGCAGTTATATCATGACAAATCTACAATTTTAGGATTAGGTCTATAATTAGAGCATTACTAATATCATAGTAGACCATAATTCTACAAACTCACTGTAGACACTGATCAAGTAAATACTTCATACTATAGTAGCAGTTAAAAACTTAAACACTTTGGGACAACAACTCCCTGCAATACCCCGTTTCATTTATTCATGGAGCGTTATATCACTGATTACTATTATATCTGTGTTGGTTGCCTAGTGAGCTTATACAGTCATACATTCAGTAGAATTAGCAGATACAAGGTGTGTGCAGGAATGCTCATATATATGGAAAATGAACTTAGGTAAACGACTACAGTAAATTGCACGGACACATACAAAAATCAATGAAGTTATGATGACTGTCACCTGCCATCGAGTCATACAACGGCTTTATTGTTTAATTGTGAGGCTGAGCATGTATTGTTTTTAGTGTGCAATAAAAAGCTATACAGATTTAACTTATCGACATTTCTGATACCAAAAATATGCTATACATCCAGTAACCAGTCATCTACATGTTAAGCTAAAACTAGTCTGCATGAAAAGTGTAGCGTATTCACGCCTACTGTGTCTGGTTATATATCTTTATTAGCCTAAAAACGTAATTTAAATATTGACATCCCTTTAGAAGGGTTTGAATTTGTGGTTTGCAGCCTTGTACACTTGTCAGGTGAAATGCCCTTAAGTTTAATTTTACACTGAACCCTAAACATTTTTACATTATTTCTCTCACGTTGATTAGTACAATGGAGTTACGTTAGTAACACCCAAATCGCTTGGAGCTCTAAAATCATCTTCGATGTAGACTTTGACTTGACGGTTCCCGCAGTGAGTAACCAAAGCACTCACACATAACTATTTTATTTTGCGTTTGAGCCGATCATAATAATACAATACAGTTTCAAAGTACTTACTTTGAATTCGAGTTCTTGATTGGGTCTTGCTAAAGTTCTAGACTTATTACGATTAGCACTACTTCTTTATATTATTCCAAATTCACATCTGGCGTCACAATTCGAACGGATTGAAGTAACTTGAAAGGAAGGCTTACCATCGAATCTCCTCGAGAAGTGGGAGATTATGTAGAATGTTTTGACGTTTGGTGTCTTTAACATAAATTCAAGGAAGATAGCATTTCAACTCACTACATTACTGATATTGGTGTAGTGGTAGTAGTGCAATTACCGGCAACGCCGGCCATCAGTTATCCTCCATTAGTACAATTATTATTCCACTAGAAGAAGAAAGGGACATTTATTTCAATACTCCTTTCATAAATAGTAAGGCTCATCTGTGCTTGGGTTACAGAGCCTAAGATTGCTATACGTACGCATTTTTTGTACTAATTCTTCTGACGGCGCTTTGATCAAAGATCTGGTTTTGCAATGTTCGAAGGCCATGAGTAGTTTGAAAATTCACCCAGTACACTCAGAACAAAAGAAGGGGTCACCTTTTTGAGGCGTAGACTATTTCCATATGGTCTAATAGAGGCTCTAGAGGATAAGATAAATTGGTTGGAAAAGAGATAATAATTGCAGTTGAATCGTTGGGTTACTCACATCATGAATTCATTAAAGGCGAACTAAAAACACTCAGAATTTATGGTGATAACCGCCTGACACTAAGTACTCGGCCACTGCAACAGAATTGTACCACTGGAGAAACTAAAGGTATTCTATATAAATTACGGGGATCATGGTATTTTTCTAAAATTGACCTAAGGGATGAGTATTTGTAGATTCCATCGGATGAAATCTCTGATAAATCATCTTTGATGAGTAGATCATTCGAACTGTTCAGATACAAATCAATATTGTTCGGAATAAACTTTTCCTCTGCAATGTTCCATATTATAAATGAAATCATCATCCGTCTTGACGTCGTTGAATCATATCAGGATTATGTCGTAGTTTATACTGAAAATACTAAGTTGGATAATGAATATCCTTCTAAGTTTTCTATGTGTTTTTGTGAAACAGATGTGGTTGTAAATTCATTCAAGTGCTAATTTCAACTTAATTCTATCAACTGATTAGGCTATACTGTAGACACTAAGGATTTCAGACCTAATATGTGTCGCTTTGTTCCACTGATTCGAGCACCGTCACCTTCAGAACTCAAGTCATGGGTTGGTGCTATTCAGTTTCATTCTAGATTTATTCTTGAACTCACACACGTATTATCTCTACTTTTTGACTTCGTCTTTAGCAAAGAGATTGCATGTGAGAGATACTAAAGAGTGCTTTACAGGTTTTCCTCATACCGTTTTTACCAACTGAAAAACCTATCCCTACTACAGATGCAGGTCCGTTGAGGTTAGGTGAGATTCTTGAGCACAAAGTTTGTTTGTTTTCATTTCGGGACGATTAAACAAGTATGTTCTCAGGCCTAAAGGAGGGCTTTAGCTGTGGTATGAGCAGTAAAGAGATTGATGTATAATTCCATGTCGTAATTAGTCACAAGGAGGTAAAGTTTGTTTACCGTCCAACTAAATCACTTCATTGGTCATCCTCTGCCATGACCCAGTGATAGAATTTAAAGTTGAGTGTGATTTTATCATTGAGTACAGGGTATCTAAAAGCATACCATATACAAATTTTCTACCATGTGATTCATATTTTGGAAGACCACCTAACAAAAGTGGCCATTTGTTGACACAACCATTATCTGTTTATATAGCAGAACTTGTGAAAGATTGGAACTATCATAAGTATTGTAGAAAGAGGTTGGATTATTCAGTGGAAGTAAAGATTTCTTGAGTTTTACAAAATGTGAAATATATAATCGCATCCTAAAGGTTTTTTTGCTTTAATGATAGAATAATCATCCTCTTATACGCAGATCTGCAGTATTAGATGACCTTTGCTTCACCCATCTGGGTGTAAAGAAAATGAAGTCACTTATTTGTCATGCTTGCTGGTGGCCTGAAACTGACGCTGATATAGGTCGAAAACCAAGAAAACTGTCCTGCTTGTTTACATAAGCTTGTAGTGACTCACATTTATCACGAGAACACGACTGGTTTAATAAAAACAATTATTATTATAACCAACCGTACCAGTGTTTGTTTTAATGTGCTTTTGTTTGACTGTGCTAATGACAGCTATTTTGTTCTTCCATTCTCTTACTTACACTTCGATTGTAACTTCGCGCGAATTCGGTTACCTTCTGTAACCTGGCACGATCTCGGTATCCTTTCGATGCCACGAGATCGCCAGCTAATAAACCTCGACTTGGTCCATTAATTGCCTTCTGGTATTTGGCTTCTCGGGGATTTTATGGAGTCATTTGGAACGAGCTTCTGATTTATCTGGCACGTGTTTCTTGGTAGCGGTGTTCATAGTTAATCTCAACTCGACGCCACGCTACAATTGGTAATCCCAATTCGACTACAAGCTATCGTATAATAAATCAACCTAGAATCACTGTCTTACATCTTATGAATCGTGACAAAGTATTCATGCGGATTGTTAAGACCCATTTTTAAGGTCATATTAAGCGTTGGTTATGATTGATTCATCTTCCAAATGGCCAGAAATGGGACTAACGAACAGTGTTAGTGGACACTTTACTCAAAGAGCTGTGAGGAAAATAGTTAGTGGTGAAAGAATCTTTCAATGTATTAGTAACGGATAGTGGAATCCATTCCACAGAAAACGTTTAACACCTGGCCTACTGACATTTAATGCCAGTGTAGCGTGGTGTCGAGTTGGGATTAACTATGAACACCGCTACCAAGAAACACGTGCCTGAATTAAATCAGAAGGCGAAGGTTGAACGTAGCCAAAGAAACCCATAAAATCTCCGAGAAGCCAAATACCAGAAGGCAAGTAATGGACCAAGTCGAGTTATATTTGGCTGGCGATCTCGTGGCATCGAGAGGATACCGAGATCGTGCCAGGATACAACCTTGATTACAGAAGGTTACCGAATTCGCGCGAAGTTACAATCGAAGTGTTAGCATAAGAATGGAAGCACAAAGTAGCTGTCATTAGCACAGTCAAACAAAAGCACGTTAAAACAAACACTGGTACGGTTGGTTATAATAATAATTGTTTTTATTAAACCAGTCGTGTTCTCGTGATAAATGTGAGTCACTACACCATCGTCTATTCACAGCTCTATGACATCCTCAATATAACGGTTTATCATAAATTTTTTCCGATCTTTAAAGAGTGCTATCATATCAGTGAGTCCAATACGCAAACTCCATCAGTTATTTTGCTGTTATAGAGACGGCCTACGGTGAACTTAAGGGAGCTCTAAGAGGCTGTGGAAGAGCTGAAGGCATCCCATCCAACCAACTTTTGGAAGAACATTCCGGAATCGTGATTTGTAGCTTCTCGATAAGACAAATGATAAAAACCACTGCATGTGGATTGTATGACTGTAATGATGATTTCGTTCTTACTAAAAATTATAAATACCTGAGTGTTTTGTACCATATTAAACACTGTTTGAAATGAGATTCCCTCCTACTCGTCTTCCGTCTTCTATCTTACGACTTGGAGGATTCTAGTTCAAGTTCGAGTGCCCGAATTGTACGTGGTTTAGCGAAAATACAAGTTCTAGATGCAACAACTATGAGACAAAATAAAATGAGAATTCGGTATCTGCTAAATATTTTCTACAGCATCTTTTCCGGCTTCATATCAACATGCATAATGGATATGGTTTTATCAGGATATTTATATTACTGTTGTGCCCAGAATAAGAAGACAATTAGATTTGAATTTATTAAAGTAACGGAGGCACTAAAGTTAAATATAGATTACAAATCAGTCTGGTGTTTAGTTTAGTTCACATAATACTTCACACTTGATTTTAATTTTGAAGTGAATAACATCGTCTTAATTCTTACCATAATTTTTGGTTTTACAGAGCTGTAGTTAATGTTGGATTTGTATTAAAACTATGGGTTAATGAGATTTAGTTGTTATCTTACATGTATTTGCATTTTTCATAGGGCATAATAATAGTGAGAGTAGTTTGTTAAACAGTGGAATGATATCCATTTTCAAATAGAGAGATATTCACTCACGGAAACAAAGAAAAGTGTTTCCGGACTCAACCAAAGTTAGTGACTGGCTCGACAGAATCCGATCATACACACAGAAACATTCTTGATTTTACGAGAATAGATATTTGTTTGCGTTTTAACAAGTGAAGCTTTTTCTGTGAACTATGTAAATACATTATCCTTTAATTTTCATATACGATTGTAAGGTTTTTTACACACTGTGTAATTGTCTTTCAGTGAGTGCTGTTAACAAAATTTACTAGTAATTAGGATGCCTTGACGAATTTCATTATTTATATTCGTATATACGTTAGCATCTTATGGTGCAGCAGCTGTTTTAAGTTTTGATTATAGCAATATAGGGGTTTTCATATGTGTTAATCCAACGCTAAGTATGAACGAACATTTTATCACTATCACAGATATTAATTGGATGCTTCAAGGAAACATTTGCAGATAGTAGAGACTGAAGTGATATATTGAAAAAGACAGGTTCTACTAACTCCTCAAAATAAATAATTAATAATACCATTTGAACTACTAATAAAAGTAAAGTAGTAAAATGTGAAGATAAACAATGATTGAGGTAAAAAAGAACAACTAATTTAGTAGTCAATTCGTCTTTCTCAGTATTTAGCTGGAAATATCAAACATATGCATAGACCTTTCTAATAATACACTCAACCAATTCGATACGATTAGTTAAAAAGGTACAATCTTCACTAAATTAGCTTCTGTTTGTGTAGTAATAACATGACGGATTTACTTAAAATTCATTTTATTAAGTTAATATCGCATTACAGTAGAAACTTTAGTTTATTTACTCAATGATACCTCATGTTTGGAAATATATGGTTACACTTCATTAACCCCCTTATGCTCCTCTTCACTAATACAAGTTGATGTCTTATAACAAATAATTAGTTTATCTATATGTAGTGAATGCTAAGACACAAAAACTAAATAAAACCCTATCGTTGTAATAGACTAGGTTTAGGATCTTGACTTTTAGAGTAGAACAAAGCGAAAAGAGAATAATGTATCCTTGTTTATCAACTCAATATATAACACATCTATGGCGTGCCTGAGAAAATAGTCAATATCATACGGAGTTCCTATGATGGATTCAACTACCAAATCGTGCGTAGAGGACAGCTCACAGACTCGTTTGAGGTAAAGACCGGTGTCAGGCAAGGTTTCTTACTTTCACCCTTTCTCTTTCTCGAGGTGATCGACTGGATCATGAAGATGTCGGCATCTGAAGGGAAACGCGGGATACAGTGGACATCTAGGATGCAGCTGGACGACTCAGACTTCGCAGATGATCTAGACGACCAATGTAGCAGCAGCCTCAGCACTAGTAGGCCTCAGTATACACAAAGGGAAAGGCAAGATTCTCCGATACAACACAGCATGCACCAATTCAATCACAATTGATGGAGAAGATTTGGAAGATGTAAAAACCTTTACAAGTTTAAGCGGCGTCATTGATGAACACGGTGGATCTAATACAGATGTGAGTGCGTGGATCAGCAAAACACGAGCAGCATATTTACAGTTGAAGAACATCTGCAACTCAAAACAATTGTCAACCAACACCAAGCTTAGAATTTTCAATACAAATGTCAAAACATTCCTACTGTAGTGGGCAGAAGCCTGGAGAACTACGAAAGCCATCATCCAGATGATACAATTGTTTAATAATAGCTGTCTACACAAAATACTCCGGATCCGTTAGATAGAGACTATCAGCAACAACCTACTATAGGAGAGAACAAATCAGATCCGAACGGAGGAAGAAATCAGGAAGAAGCGCTGGAAGTGGATAGGACACATTGAGAAAACCACCCAACTGCGTCACAAGGCAAGCCCTCATATGGAATCCTCAAGGCGAAAGGAGAAGAGAATGATCAAAGAACACATTACGCCGAGAAATCGAAACAAACAAGAGGAGAATGAACAAAAATTGGATAGCACTGGAAAGGAAGGCCCAGGACAGAGTGGATTGGAGAATGCTGGTCGGCCACCTATGCTCGATTGGAAGTAACAGGCGTAAGTAAGTAAGCAAGCAAGTAAGAGAGTAAGCAAGTAAGTAAGTAAATAATTAAGTATGTGTGTATGTATGTATGTAACACATTTGATGGAAAAGATCCTAACCTTGAAAAAAGTTTCCATAACCTTTGTATTGAAGTCTAATCTATATATTCATTGAACTGATATTTGGAAATTAGATCAATTATAATTTCATGCGGTTTAGTAGCTTCTAATTTTTTAAAATCATTTCTTTTCTGATATTATTCAACCAACTTAGATCAAGATTTGAAGAAACATCCTACTTATTTTCTACTACTTTTTTCGAATTACCACCCTCTAAGTAACAAACAATTATGTAATCTTAATTATTAACCACAAAATTAAAAAAAGTCGATAAATTAATTAGTTTCTAATGAACAGTCAGTTAATTTATCAGTATTACTATATATATATATATATATATATATATATTTACAGCATTTTTCATCTGACAATTTCTCTGTGAAAAATAATAATATGTAGGGTAATTTCGTTATAATATTTTAAAAAAGAAATGTGAAAATAATAAATATCACCAGTTTATTCAATTTATCTAATTCCATTTAGACTAGTACCATTTTCAACTTCATTGTCTAAATTACTTCTTTGCATAGATATAATATTTCTTAGATCTGATGAATTATTTTCATTCATATGTTGCATAATATATTTTCTACGTTGTATATTACTATTATTATTATTATTATTATTATTATTATTATTATTATTATTATTATTGTTTAATGGATCTGTATTAATTGTCAAAGATAATGAAGATAATGTTTGAGCTTCATTTAAAGTATTAGATATAGTATTATTTGAAAATTGTTGTAGTTGATGATGATGACAAATACTTGAAGTTACAGGTGTATGTCTATCTGTATATATAGTTGAACTATTTGTAGAATGAGTAATTGACTGACTATCTTTATTTAAAATTTTAAGTAAATCTGATAGAATTGTTTGAAATGTATTTAAAGCACTAATTAATGTTAAACCACCAAATCCATGTGTTATATGACTGAAATGAGTTAATGATTTTTGTGTAGTAACATCAAGACAATTTGTTGTTCGATTTGGTGGAAGTGGATTCACTGCAAGTGGACTTCTGTCTTTTGTTAATAAATCAGTGATTTCACCCAACATTTGTCTATATAAATTAATAAAATGATTATACAATTAATTTTTCTTAAATTTATTATTCAATATTTCAATGAATTAATCACAAAGAATAGAAGTTAATCATTACTGGTTATTTTGTGAACTAAGTTTATAGCCTTAGCTACTAACTTGTTAATAAACAGTTAACTCATTTTTTATCATATCCTAGTTGAGTATCACATAAATAATGGTTTTAATTCCTTTATGTACGTATGACAACAGTCCAACGGTTTTAGTTTATAAGATCTATTCGATTAGGTTTTGGAACTGACATTCATGAGCAAGTTTTTAATTCAATCAATTCAACTATTTCCTTATTTTATGAAATCAAATAGACCATTATAACGATAAGGTTCAAATAAAAAAACTAACATACAACATTCACGTTACATTGTATCTCTAATTTTTTTATCTGTTCGTTTGATACCCACAAAGAAATACAGGCACATCAGTATAGTTGCTCACTACTAACACAGAAACAATCCAAACAGGTTAGTTTCCAAACCATTGTACATTTCTGGTAGATATTACCTTTAATGATACAAATACTTATTTTTATTGTGCTCTGATAACCATCAAGTGTTAGAAACCAAAATTCTTTATATAAACTAACGATAAGGATGCTTATTTATTCACCTTTGACTATTAGCACTGATATTGTGAATTTTAAGAAATAATTTGTTTGGATTATAAATAAGGAAAGTAATCTCAATTCAGTAAATATTTCCACTGATACTTTACAAGTCGAATTGTTGCATCTACAACATATCTTATGTGTGTCATAAAAGACTGACATGTCATGCATGTTTTAGTAAATGTCGGCAAAGAAATCTAACTTTATTCTTCTGGTATGTTTAGTAATTAGTAAAAAAACATAACAAATAGTTAGATAACTAAGTAGATGGAAAAGACATAATTATCAGAGAGGGGTGTTGTGGAGACTGTAGTAATTTAATAATTGAATTCATGAGTCATTTTAAGCTAGACCACCATGGAACACCTGAAGCACTGAACGGCCGTTTCGTCTTATTATAGAACTCCTCAGCACTGCACATCCATGACCCCGCCTCGCGAAATCCAAACCCAGAACCTATCAGTCTCGCATACGAACGCCTAAACTTTAGACCACTGAGCCGGCATCCAATGGTGTTAATGTTGTTATTGTATTATTGTTTTCTAAACTAGCAATTATGTTTAATAGTTGAAATGACTTTATGAAATATTTTAGCAATATTTCGAAGATCGACTGTCTAAATGTTAAAAAAAATCCAAACTCTATCGAGAAGGCTGTTCAAGACACCTAGGCCTTATGTTGATGCTCTACTTGATATAAACTTTTGATGTGAGATATTTTCGAATATATATCGAATTCTGAGAATTCGATTCCTTTTATTGTTACCCAAACGGATAGATAAAAGGATGGTTGTATTTACTTACTTTGTTGAGATTACTTGATTTCGTTTCTTTTGCACATCACTGTAATCACATCCATTCAAAGTACGTGAAAGATATTCAGCGCATATTCTATGTGGAAACTCATTTTCACATAAATAACTAAAGTCACGAGCCATTCTAATAGCCTCACCTGCATTTAGTAAAGAAAAATATTAAAATAGATTATTTAAATAAAATAATTATCAAACTACATGAATAACGTTTAACTACACTATGATGTACTGTTATTCATCTTCAAAATTAAAGATGTATGAATTGTTTTCTAATAAAATTAGCCTTTTGCTAGAAATATGGAATAAAACTTATTTTAATAACATCCAAACAACAATGGATATTCTTAACTTCATTTATCCAAAACTAATCAATGTCTAAAGCCCGTAACTACAAATCTGTGATCATAAATTTAACTATTATCTTAGAAACTTTTGAAGATATTGTGGAACCATTCAAATCAAAACTTATATTATCATTCACAATCTAAACTTGTAATACTCTCATTTTAATTAGTTTATCTGTCGATAACAGTATAAAAAAATAATATTTTCTAAAGATTCAGATCAAGAACGTTATAAATATTTGGTTATGTTTTCTGAAGAACCAGTAGGAGCCTTATTTCGGTTAATGCCCGTTTTAAGCCCAGACAATGAAAGAGCGTTAGATATAGGCCGAGAAACTCCACTTACTAAAAAAGAACCATTTTGAAAAGTGCCAACCAGTAAAAATCATTTAAAATCTGCCTTGAGCGTTGAAGAGCATTCTTACAAAACAGTAGCAACGTCTTATGGTGAAAGCCGAAATTCTTTGGAATTCACCTAATGGATGTTTAACATGAAAACGAATGCAACAATTATTATAAGTAAAAATAATAATTGCTTAACCGAACACGATATTGATCACAAAGCTGATACAAGTTGAAGATTCAGAATGTATGTTTAAATATTTTCGTTCCAGTTTCTTCTGAAATTTCTTATTCACTAACTTACATTAAATAAAGATATACTCTTGATATAAAAACTATCTTTGAAAATAAATTAGTCTTCATATCCTACATATTTTTCTCATTGAATCATATAGTTTCTACAGTATGACAGGTTGTCAATATAGTAAAGTCATAAACTTTTACTGTACACTTATGTAGGAGAGTAAAACATTTGTTTTATATATATCATCTTAATGATAATAATTATTTTAATATAGTCACGCATTATCATATAAATATTTTTGTTCCAAGTATTAATTAAAGTTATGAAATTCTATCTGATGAAATCATGACAAATACACCATCTTATTCTTTTTGTTTTTAAATCTTTCTTTTAGAAAATATAGTCGATTCCGGTTAGTAACCAATGTTTTATTTGTATACAGATTACATCTTACTAATTCATCATAATACACATAACAGATTATGTGAACCGTTAATTTTACTGATGAATACGTGTGTTAGGGTGCATATACATATTTATGGATGAGATAAGATGGGATCGGACAAAGGAGAGTTTATTTTTACTATAGCGATCTGATTCTAAACAATTACTGAATAGCCACGATCCCGATTGTTATCAATACTCTAAGGTTGGTAATAATGGGAAGAAAGATCATTTTCTTTGTATCTCAGCATTACATAGTACTTTGTTTCTCTTTACTAATAGTTAAAATATAGAGACGAAATAACTTTATAAGTAACATTAAGAACATATTCTAATCGTTTGAACAATACGAAACTTCACCCTGCAGCTCGCCAGAAGTGTATACCAATGAGTTAGTACCGTATAAGTTCTATGACCTCTATATACCTTATCAAGTACTATATCTTTAAGCTAATAAGTCACAGTTTAGTGGTTTGCATTTCGAACATCAGTTGATTTAAAAGTTAGTAAGATGATTATCCGTTACCACTGGTAATAACTATATTATCCCTATTATGGTTAAGCCGATGTTAATCTGTAACAAAAATCCTATTCAATAGATTCTTAAATTTCTAATGGTAATTGTTGAAGTTCAAACATTTAAGAAAGGAAATAGTTATCATTACATTTTATACATTACTGGCAAGTCATAGAGAATAAATGAATAAAACATTTTACTTTCTGATAGCTGGTATATAAAAAAAGAAAGAAAAATGGCGAGACCGTAATTTATGGACGATTTTTAAGCGATGCTAGACTGACCCTGAGAGTATCCATCTAATAACTAGGACTAAATGAGGGTTATAAACCTGTGTGAGGAAGTTGAATTATGATTTACAGTTGATGGTTAAGGTTAAGAATTATTTTAAGGGTTTTCATCAGGAACTGATATCAGATATAATGCCAAAGCTGTATTTAGACAAATGGATGAGTGAATTTCGCGCCAAAATCCGAAACCTATTATCTTATACCTAGTTGGTTCGTCCATAAATTATAATCTCTCTAGAAAAATAATCGAACTTAATACTATGTTATGCAATATGTCATTCAGATAAATAATTATTATCTCAATAGTTGAGATCATGAGTCAATTGAAGCTAGGCTACCATGTAAAACCTGGAAGCACTGGACGACCATTTCTTCCTATTGTGGGATTCCTCAGTAGTGTGCATCCACGATCCCGCCTCGCAAGATTCGAACCGAGGACGTACTAGTTTCGCGCGCGAGCGCTTAACCACTAGAACACTGAGCCGGCATTTAACGGTGTTAATGTATAACTTCAACTAATCCATGGGATTGAGCGACACATCCACCATTGTCATCAGTGAGTTACTATCTCACAACAGACCTGGTTGAACTCCGTTGGTCACGTCTTTCCACTAGAATTCCAGGATATACCTCTTGAAACCAGTCACTAGTGAGCATTAGTTGGTTAATATCAGAAGGGGTTTTGTGGAGATTGTAATAATTTCAATAGATGAGATCATGAGTCAATTCGAATCCCGCAAGTCAGGGTTGTGGATGCTCACTGCTAAGGAGCCCCACAATAGGACGAAATGGCCGTCCAGTGCTTCTAGGTTTTTAATGGTGCACTAACATCAATTGACTCATGATATCAACTATTGAAATTACCAGAATCTCCACTAAACCCCTTCTGAAAATAACTGGTAATAGTAATCTACTATTTAAAATGTTTATTATCGTTATTATCATCATCACCACTATTATTATTATAACTACCGTTCTCTTTTATGTTCACCTTATTTAACCCCAATTTCTTTGTTTTTATTTTTCAATGTTTTTCATAGTTACGTAATGATTAAGATAACAATTAAAATATTTTTTTAAAATTGTTTTTTAAAGGTTAATTTGTTTTATATTTTTAAGTTATAAAAATTAATTTTATATACTTGAAATGAACTTTATTTTGTATTAAAAGTAATTGATGTTCCTAGAAACAATGTACAATATTCTGTTATTAAATTAAATTTCCATAGGAATTCTATTTACAATTTTTATGAATTGTTTATGTTAAGTATTTGAAATTAGAATGATAAATATTAAACTAATCAATTAAATTATATGTCAGAAGGGGTTTTGAGACGACTTCTTTTAGAAATTTCACTGGTTGAAATCATGAGTCAGTTGAAGCTAGACCAGTATGGAAAACCTGGAAGCACTGGACGGCCGTTTCGTCCTAGTATGGGACTCCTCAGCAGTATGCATCCACGATCCCGCTCCTCGCGAGATTTGAACCCAGGACCTATCAGTCTCACGCCAGGCGCTTAACCAACTTGACCACTCATGATTTCAACCAGTGAAATTTCTAAAAAAATCTCCACAAAACCCTTTTTGATAATAATCATCTGCTCACTAGTGACTGACTCCAAGAGATACACCTGGAGTTCTAGTGAAAAGCCGTTACCAGTGGAGTTCAACCAGGTCTGTTCTGAGATATCAACTCACTGAAGACAATGGTATACGATGGCGCAACTTCGTGGATTGGTTGAAGTTAGACATTAACACCGTTGGATGCTGGCCGATTCAGTGGTTTAGTTGCTAAGCCTTCGCGTGCGAGACTGACAGATCTTGGGTCCGAATCTCGCGAGGAGCGGGATCGTGGATGCGCACTGCTGAGGAGTCCCATACTAAGATGAAAAGGGTCGTCCAATGCTTCCACGTTTTCCATGGTGGTCTAGCTTCAATTGACTCATGATTTCAACCAGTGAAATTTCTAAATTATATATATTATTAACATTAGGTAGTTTAAGGAAAACTTGAACCAAAATGTTTTGTGTTGATTGATACTTTTCAGTAAAAGGTTTCACTGAAATCTTAATGAAACTAATTATCACAGTGCAATTTAAACGTATGTGTCTTTGTTTCATAGTATTGAACATTAAAAATGAAGTATTTGGGCAGTGATTAACTTCCTATAGGAGGGGTAAATTCTCATCGACTGATCACTGAGTAGTGATTAAATTTTATGTATGTCTAGTCTCTTAGTGCTGATCGAATTCTATAGAGTAGGTTATCATGTGATCGTCAAGCTAAGTGACGAAGCATCGCATGTACTAAATTGAGATATCAGATGATTAAAGGTAGTTGCTGAGAAACTTTGAACTTGGGTTTCATTCCGCGAGATAGAATTCTATCATCATTAATAAATTAGACCAACATAACACTGGTCAGTACTCACTAACCAATAGATTGTAAATATACTGTTAACATTTTCGACACTATATTCTCACTTCAAATATAGTACACATTGTTATATATTTATCCAATTTATTTTTCGGAATTTACGATTCACTTAGAATGCTGAAAATTTCACACTATTGAGGTATTAGAAGGATACAAGCAAATCCATATTATTTTCCAGGCATTTCTTTGCGTAATTTACACACTCATTGACTTGAGATATATCGAGTTATTTCGTAAGAAAATAAACAGTTACATCTTTCACGACGAAATGAAAGAAACTTATTTTACCATACACTAAATACATATTTTAGATGAAACAGTATAGATTTTCATATAGAAAGAATAAGCTTGGTGAATGCACGTTTTTAGTGATGAAAATACCTATTAGTATAAAAACTAAACTACTGTAAACACTACTCGTCAGCTATTTCATTTACTGAAAACACTAAACATTTCCGTTTATTTACAAAATCAAGCAAATTAATTTGTAGGTAAGAAGAAGAATTGTAATTTTTCTTTA